CCCCACATTTTGCTCTTTTTGAGAAGGATTTTCAAGTATTTTCGAAACCTTTGGCAGCGAACATGTTTCTTCTTCTGATTCAAAGTTCAAACACATGGGTGTTCGGGTTGTTCTTTTACAAGTAATTACTCATCTTTCTTTTTCTCTCTGCCTACCAGAACCAGTTTTTTTGTTCTCCAGATACTCCACCCATTACTTTGTCCTAACTCTTTTACTATTTTCTGTGCATTTTCGTTCTGTCACTGTTCTCTTGTCCGCGTATATTTTTTTGCTCTTTTTGAAGAATGCTCTCGTTCAACACAACAACGTCTGCATCCAACTTTCAATCTGCATCATCAAGATATTCCACATCATCATCTCAAAATGGTTCTAAACTATTTCCTGGGCACTTCTATCCCAGCGGACTGAGTCCAAGACAGTCGGAAGCCGTCGAACGACTACGACCCAATCCACGCGAACGAACTATTCCGATTCAAATCGAAAAGTCGTCGTTAGCGAATCAGAAGTCAGAAGACGTGGTGCCAACTGTACAAATCACATCTCCAAAGCAATCCATTGTTCCGAACTTTGTCTCGGAGCAGCGTGGACTTCAGCATCAACAACAACCTGCACCTCAAGCTCCATCTAACTATCGTCAATTCGTGGCGGCTCCAAAATCGCCACGTGGTTATGGGGACTACCCAGAAATCACTGGAAGGCCTCAGGCCGCCGTGCAAGTCCCAATCCAGATTAATAGAGCTCCGAGTCCACAGGAAAAAGTGATTCCAACAATTGTATCACCACATCCAGTCTACTATTATGACAATCAGGAACAGCCAATTCAACATATTCGAGGTTTTGTTTTTTCTTTTTTTGTGTGATTCTTGTTGCATGGTGTTCTTCCATAAGTGTAAAATTTGAAACATTGGAAAAAATACTTTGAAAAACAAAAACCCTGGCCCCCAACACTGTAAGCTTGAGCTCAATTATCTCGGCTCCTATAAGAGATATCAAAAATGTGTCAACTGATAAAATGTTTTTGATAACATGATAAACAATTTATTAGTTGACAACTTTTTGATATCTTCAACATGTACCAAGATAAATAGGGTAAAATTTAAAAGTTAGAGGGACTCTTCTACAGGGTGTACGGTAGTCAATGTAACAAAGCTAAAACTTTTTGGATGATTGAAAAATCGAATCCTAATATTATTTTGTTCCAGACGAGCAGCCAAATGCCACGATGGAGACCAAAGTCACCGGACAGGGTCAACCAAAACGTGTCGGACGCTGGACACTGGCTCAACTCCGTCAAACCGACGGAATTATTCCGAGCCAGGCCGGATGGAACAAGGGAGACTCGCAGAAGTTGATGACCAACTTTGGTACGCCAAGAAACACCAACACTCGTGTAAAGTCCGAGAATCTTCAGGTAAGAAGAATTTATAGATAAATCTAAAATTGTTGTTATTTTTAGGAAGTGCCAGAAGATATTGCCAACCGTTCCCATGGAGAAGTCCGTCTTCAATCCGGTACCAACAAGTACTGCTCGCAGAGAGGAATGACTGGATTCGGATCCGGACGTGATGTGTGCCGTGAGGGAGTCCGTGTCGCTCAGAATCCAGCTGATTTGGCTGTAAGTTTATTGAATGGATCTCATAGCGTAATTATTAATCAAATTTTCAAAAAAAAAACCTAACTTCTGAAACAGTGAATTTTTCCAGTATTTACACATGCGTTCTTTCTGTGTAAGAATCGACTTAAAGCTACATGATTACTGTAGTTATTAGTAAATAAATGTCAGAATAGAAGACCAAAGTTTTGAAAATTGCATCATTAAGATGAGAATGGGAATTACCGTAAAATCTGTTATAGAAAGTCTCCCACACTGTCAAGTTTGAGCTCAATTATCTCAGTTCCTGTCCAAGATTTTAAAAATATGTCAACTAATAAAATGTTTGTTATATTGTGATAAAGAATTTATTAGTGGACAACTTTTTTTAATATCTTTCACAGGTACCTAGAAAAGTTGTCTCGAAGTTCAACTACGGTAGTTTTGAGTAAATCGATGTCAGCTTAGAAGACCAAAGTATTGAAAACTTCTGGGCGAAAAAAGAGTTGAAAATAAATTTTCGACCAAATCTTTCTATAAATGAAAATATGGGAACAGAGAAATTTGAAACTCAAAATCCGATTTTTTTTCAGGAGCTGCCAGAGGAGAAGATCCGTATGTCGGAAGGAATCGTCCGTCTTCAAGCTGGTACCAACAAATACGACTCGCAAAAGGGAATGACCGGATTCGGTACTGGACGTCGTGAGACCACGAAGATGGTCGACTCCAAGCATCCAGAATACGATCACGAGAAGCCAGATCAATCTGAGATTCCACTTCAATCCGGAACCAACAAGTTCGCTTCTCAAAAGGGAATGACCGGATTCGGAACAGCCCGTCGTGAGACCACAAAGATGGTCGACTCGAACCATCCAGACTACTCTCACGAGTGCTCCATCGATCAAACCACAATTCCATCGCAGATGGGATCCAACCAGTACGCCTCCCAGAAGGGAATGACCGGATTCGGACAGCCACGTTGGGAAGTCTTGGACCCATCCATCTCCTGGCAAAACCGCAAATCCCAGGGAATGGTCCGTCTTCAATCTGGTACCAACCGTTTCGCTTCTCAGGCTGTAAGTTTAAGGAAATTTGAGAGAATATGAAATAAGATTTTCAGGGTATGATCGGCTTCGGAACATGCAGAAACACGACATTCGAGGCTGAGGGAGGAGAGCTTCCATACGAGGCTATGAAGGTTTCGGAGACCATCATTCCAAGTCAAGCTGGATGGAATAAGGGAGACTCTCAGAAGGCAAGTTTTTGGTTTGGGCAGCTTGCCCGTGCTTTAGGGCAAACTAAACGAGAGCTAAAATTTATTTACTGTTTCTATTAATTATTTTAAATTGGTTAAAGGTTATCTATAGATTTCACCCACAAAAATCTAGTTACAACTAATTTTGTTTTCAAATTTTCAGAAGATGACATCATTCGGAGCACCACGTGACGTTAAGGGCAAGCACTTGAAGAGAATCTGGGAGCTCGAATATCCAGAAGAGGCCGAGGTCTCTTTGGATCGTCTCTAAACCATTCTTCTCGGTTTTTTTCTCTTTAAATTACCATGATACCTGTGCATAACTTGCTTCAAAATTCGTCTACTTTTTTCCCCTTAAATTTCTTTTTCCTTGTTCTCCAAAAAACTGCTTTCCCCCCATCCTTGTCTTTTACTCCCGTCTTCTTCCCAAAGCCAACAATTCATCATAAATTTGAAATTTTTCGTTTTGTCTTTTTGAGTGAATTTCGAATCAAAATGTGCAAATTCAGTGAAAAATTGGAATACTTGTTTTTCTTTTAAAAGATATCTATTTCTTCAAATGAACTTTTCAATGAGTCGAAGAGATTACGGTTTTGAGAGGGAAACTGTAGTTTAGATTTGAGAAAGATGAAGATGATTCCAGAAACTTTAGGTTATGAAATGGAAATAGGACAATTCTATAAGAAAATGAACTATGCTTCGAAAAAATTTATAGAAACGGATTTGTAGCTTTATATAATGGAATCATGGAGCAGATAATTTTTATTATTTTATTTTGTGCAGAAAATCATGTTTACATAAAAACTAAGAAAAAATTCCAAAAAATTCCTGAAAGGAAAAAACCCGCATCGAATAAGCAAAGTGCATTCCGGTGGGCGAGAGACAGAGTCTGAGTTTTCTAGTCCCCCGCGGTCAGCGCTCTAAAATTTTCGACTTTTTTCCCGATTTCAGTGTTTTTATTGAGATTTTTTAGGTTATTCGAGATATTCAGGAAAATATTAACCAAAATCTCTTTTTCGGACACCGCGACAGCGACCTCGGGGGACTAGAAAACTCACATTCGGTCGCCAGCCACCAGAAACCACTTTGCTTTTTCGTTTCAGTTTTTCCCATTATAGGAATTTTTCAAAAACGTGAATCGGCATACTTTTTGTATAAAACGAAGCTACAAAAAGCTTTAAAATGATCACAAAGTTTTCTAGTAGTTGAAATAATGCAAACTGTTTATGTAGACATTGTATCAATTGAATATATCTGAAGCTGTATAAAATGGAATCATGAAACAGATTTTTATGAAATTCGTATCGACGATGTATTCAAAATGTTTATACAGTATTGTACCAGAGTTCCAGGCCACACTAGAAAAATGAATTCTTCAGGGTTTTTTTTCCCAATTTCCAACCATTTTCTTGCGGAATCGCTGATCTTATAAAACTTTTTTGCAGAAATGACAAAAAAATCCACATTTACAAACTTACACTCGGCCGCCAGCCACCAGATACCACTTTGCTTTTTCGATGCGGGTTTTCTCATTTTAGGAATTTTCTAATATTTTAAAATGTGGATCGACATACTTTTTTGTTCAAAAAGAAAGCTTTTAAATGATTCAAGAAATTTCTAGAAATTCAAATCATTGTAAATATTATTGAAGACAAAGCAAATAAACGTATTTGAATCCTTACAAAATTGAATCATGATACAGATAATACTTTTTCCAAAAATTTCATCCAGTTTTGAACGCAAATTTTAAACGGTTCCAGAAATTTCTAGAAATGGAAAAAATTGGAAATATTTACTTAAATAGACCAAGTAAAATTACAGATCCGAAACTTCGAAAAATTGAATCATGAAACAGATAATTTTTTAAAAATTCGTATCAACTTTATTTATAAATTCTATACAGTTTTGAGACAGTGTAAATCAAGTTTCAATCCAAACTAGTAAAATGAATTTTGCAGGGGTTTTCTCTTCAATTTCCGAACATTTTCTTACGAAATCGTTTGTTTTTTAACTCCTAAAACATTTTTTGCAGAAATGACAAAAAATTTAAATTTTCCGAGGAATCCTGTCTGAAATCGAGAAAAACCCTGAAAAATTTGAACAAAAATACTTTTCGCGCTCTGGCCGGAGATTAGAAAGCTCACACTCGGTCGCCAGCCACCAAATACCACTTCGCATTTTTGATGCGTTTTTTCACATTTTAGGAAATTTATTTGAAGTTTTTCTTCATTTTAATGTAAATATACACGATGTTCTGCACAAAATAAAGCAATAAAACTTTAAAATGGTTACAGAAATGTCTAGAATTCTAAAAGTATTGAAAATCTATATGTAGATAACATAGCAAATAACGAGATTTTAAACTGTATTAAATGGAATCATGAAACAGATAATTTTCAAAAAATCTTTTTTTATTATTATGATAACATTCGAAATTTTATACAGCTTTAAGCGAGTTTACAGGTGGTTATGATCAAGTTTCACGCCAAACTAGAAACATGAATTTTGTCTGAGCATCATTATAATTTTCCAAAATAATTGATGCAGTGGTTCCTTTCCAATTGATGTCAAAGCTTCGTTCTATCTTTATGTCTCTGAAGAAACAGTTGTTTTCTCTGAAAAATAGCATTTTTAAGCGAAGTTTGATTAGAGTAAATCCTTACAAATGAAAAGTTCTCTTCAAGTTTACTTCCTGACTATCCAATCCTTTCAGTACTAAATCCTCGCTCCATTTATTCCCTTCAACACTTCTCGCTTGTAGCATCTTCAATTTCGATCTATTTTCCATCCATAAATTTATAAAAGTATTGAAAGTTTCCGCTTTCCATTTCGAAGTTCCCAAATCGATAATATGGCAATTCATAGCCAAAACATGATTCGGTTTCAACCAGAAATTAGATTCGAATATTAATGTTTCCATATCAAATTTTACAGTTTCAGATGGGAGAATTCTGGTTGGTGCTTTCAGAGTTAGATGTTTCCCGACTAGGACTTTTTCCATTATCATTTTCAAATAATCATCAGGAACAAAATATGAAACTCGAAGAGCCTCCACCGTCAATCCTTTCATCATTTCTTGGATGTAGAATTTCTCGTGTTTTGTTATAAATCCACAAATCCATATTGAATGGAGGGGAACATTGAAAATTGACGAAATATGATCCAGCCAATTCCGAACCGAAAATCCTTTCAGCCAATATGTTTTCTTCAAGACTTCTTGGTATTGTTCGGAACATCTTACCACTCTAATAAGTCCCGAATCTTGATGAGAATCGTCCAAATATAAAGTCCAAGAAATGTTTGTCCATTGAAAGGAGATCCTTATTTCGAATTGATTGTCCACAAAAAATGATAACTCGGTTGGTGCTTTCTTCTTGTTGACAATGTACTTGGCTAAGGATTTGCAAACTTTTGAGCACAAAGATAAATCTACTCTGAAAAAATGTTCAAAATATAATTCAAAGATCAGATTGGTGGTGCGTAATTAGCCGGACTGAAATTTGTACTAGCCTAAGTTTTGATTGAAGCGTTGTACTGGACTCAAATTTAGAATACAAAAGCTCAGATTATTCAGGAATAAACTGGCTAGATTTCAAATTAATTGATCAACTTTGAGCTGAGTTATCGCTTGTCAAAGTTGCTTCCTCTTATGAAAACCACAAGAAAGATTATGCCGTCTATCTTTGGACAATCATAACAATACCTAGACTTGAGGAATCGCTTCGAAAATGTCAGTAGCTTTGAATCAAACTTAAAATTATATTTCTACCAATTTTCGTTCTTCCAAGATACTTATGTCTAAAGATATTCCTGTTTTTATTAGCCCGGGTAATTGTGCACTACCCTGTAGTAGCTTACAATTCAACAGTTTCATAGTTATGAAGTACATCTAAAAGTATAACTTCAGGGAGACGAAGCAAGGGAAATTTGTTGGTGGTTGGGGTTGGGTTCAACATCATGTGAATGAAATTGAATAGAGAGAAGAAGAGAACGGATGAAGGGTTTGAAGAGGAAGAGAAGGAAATGGAGAGACGCGTTCGGGTCGGGGAAAGAGAGAAGGCTCGGGAGTGAGTACACATTTCCAATAATTATGCAGAGAGACGGAAGGGTGGAGCGGAGGATTGAGGATTGGGGATGTATTATGGGACCAACTGAAAGTAAGCTGATGAACAATACAAAAGTTGTTTTAAAAACGGTAAAATATGTTTTTGAATGTTTAGATAAAAATTTTCAGTACATTTTTTATGTTGCTGGAAGCGAATACCGAAGAAAAACTCATTTAAAAATTTCTATTCGATTGAAAGCTTATTTTTTGACAAAAAATCTGTTATTTTTATTCACTTCGTTCGTAAATTAATCAGAGAAATCATCGCAAAGTAAGGTTTTAAGCCAAACTTGTTTTTTTTCTGAATTGGTAAAATATTTTTGAATGTTCCGAAAAAAGTTTCAGCAAACTTAAAAAATTATTATGTTTCTAGAAGGGAAACCTGAAAAATATTCAACCATCACCTCCAGGAAAAAGTACTGTTACGAAAAAATAATACAATTTTTGACATAGTATTTTTTTCATACATGTAAATGGCCGGGCCGGGCCGGCCCGCCTGCCACAAAACCCTCGGCCCGGTACGGCCCGGCCCGGCCCGCTCGGCCCGCCTAGGACAACACCCAAAATATTTTTAATAGCACAAATATTAATTCAAATGCATACAACCATCCGAAAAAGTCAATTTAATTGAATTTTGAGCAAAAAAAAACAAACTTAATTTTCTTGAAAAAGGATGATTTGCTCTAAATTTTCGAAATTTTCAAAAAGCGGGCCGGCCATCTTTTCCACAAGTATGATTTTTTTCTCAATGTTGCACAAGAAGTTTTGCAAAAATCGAAATTACAATGAAATAGTGAGAAGTACAAAAAAAATTATTTACTGGTATTTTTCAGAGATTTCTTCATTTTTGACTAAATACCAAAATCGATTCAAAAAGTGGAAAAAGATATCTGATTTCTGACATAATCAAATAAATCATAATTTGTTTGGAACCAACTAACTTAAACCCAACATACGACTTATTGGTTTCTTATTACTCACAACTATTATTTTTGAAGACTTTGAAGCGGTATAAATGATATGGCATAAAATATGCATGGTTAAACATTGATTGCAAACACATAAGTTAAGGAGATTATTTTCTAGGATTTTCGATTTTTTTTGAACATTATGGTCAATAAACACAATCCTAGTCAATCCGAAAAAATATTCATCACTAAACTTCCAGTCAAATCAAACTTCCGAAATACTATTCCCGATAGTTTTGAAGAAGTAATAGTTTTAAAAACCTGTAATAGAAGAGCCCCTACTCAGGTAAATCGGAAAACTTTTCTGAGCTACATTTTTTTTTATCCAGCTGCAAAAGTTTCGAAACTGAAACTTTTTAAAGCCACAGTTAAACCTTTTTCAGTCATATTTAAACTTTTCAAACCTTTGTCAGCCTTATTAAAACTTTTCCGGCTTTTCGAAAGATTTATTCTGTTTTTAAAAATTATTTTACCTAATTTTGTTTTATTTTTATCATCATATAATTTTTTTTGTTCGTTTCCATATGTTTGAAAGTCGTAAAATGCTTATTTGAGAGAAAATCCAAATCACAATCTCCTGGAATCATAACCTATTGCTCAAGAACTATCATCGAAAAAACGCCATGATGAATCATTGAATGAGAATTCAAACCTGCGGTTTGTCAGTTTTAGTAAAAAATAAATTTACCTATCATAATTTCAGACAAGGAGAAACTTCAAACTTCCGAAGCAACAATTTGGAAAATCGTGTTACACCAATATGAGGAAGACTAGATCATGCATGATCGCGATCACATGAACCCGCTCCAAAGACAATATCGAAACGGCTCCCGGACATTTCGCAACCGAACATTTCGCAGCCGCGACATTTCGCAGCCACACATTTCGCAACCGGACATTTTGCAACCGGACATTTTGCAACCGGACATTTTGCAGCCAGACAGACATTTCGCAACCGGACATTTTGCAGCCAGACATTTCGCAGCCTCTGATAACGTCAGAAAATCGGAATTCCAAATTCTTCGGTTTTGAAAAAAGTATATTTTAATGTCAGAAATTGAATTTTCGAAGAATTCGGCTGAAAAAAAAATCAAATTTCAGCTGAAAATAGCAAGCAAGTATTCAATCAATGAAAAACTGCTAAATCTTCACAGTTATGATATTTTTTAGAATTTCTTTTTTTTTCTAGAATTCCAAC